GTTTTCTTCATTGTTCTTTGCTCTGGATGAGGAGAGACTCATCGTTGCATCTAGATGGCTGCTTGAAAGCTTTTAAGATTGCAGTCGCTACTCACCAAAGTAGGAGGTGGAACAATGTTTGGTATAGTGTGTTATGCCAATTGAGCTTGATGTTTGGGCAGCTCATTGGAATGTCATAGTAATAAACTTAAGTGTTTCAGGCTCATAATCTAATTTCTGACTCTCAGCCTTATTTATCAGACACAGGACTTTGATCAAACCAAACTCGTGAAGCTGATTCCAACTCATATGGACTCTGTAGGACAGAGTAGAACCACCTTACAGGGTTTCCAAGGCTATAATCTTTATGGAAGCAGCTTGCCACATCATTCTCCCATGGATCAGCTAGTGGGTTCCATCCACAGACCTTTCAGTTAGCAGCTGAGTGCTTAACCTTTGTGCCACCAGGGCTCCTTCATTATTGATACTACTTAGTTGAATTAATTTGCAGTGTTGTCAAATTCCTATAATCCTACACCATCCAAAGATGGCTTCCACAGCTTTAAAACAAATAGTTTTCCAGAAATTTTTTACACCAGTATATTGATAGAGAACATTGCCTTTATATTTCAACATGAAGAAAAAAATAATCTTACTGGTTGTAAAAGAGTGAGAGTGATAAAATGAACAAACTCAGAACTTTTCTGTTATTGGCAAAGCTACAGTTATTTCTTGGTAAATTTAAACAAGTGATTGAAATAACAGAAGTTTTGTCTTTTCCCTTAGGCACTACGTACAGTCTTTGATTAAGAAGGGGGTGCCTCTAGGATCCGGTTTGTCTCCTCTCTCTGAGAATGATGAAATGGCAAACCTTAGCCTGCTCGACGTGAATCAAGTCACAGGAACTTTATCTCAGGTAATGAACTACGTTACTCTTATTATTTGGCCCAACCCTCATGAAAATAAACCTTTTTCTTTTTTGTATCTTAACTCTATATGACATAGTTGTGAAATGTATATGCATACAAAAGAATGAATAAAATTCATCTGCATAATATAAAAAACACTAATAAAATAACTATCTTTTGTATCTATCACCTAGGTTAGAAAATGGAACACTCATCTGCTCTAGAAGTCTCTTTTGTTCTCTTCTGGGTACTAGTTCCTGTCTGCCATTCTAGGTTTTATGTGACTCAAGTCCATACTTTTCCAATTTTACCAATTATGTATATATCTATAAATAATATATGGCTGGATTTTATTGTTGATAGATCTTTACATGGACTCTTTATTACTTTGTCTGGGACTTCTTTCAAGTAACATCTCTTTTGGTACATGTTACAACTACAGGTCACTCATTTCACTGGTTGTTTATTGTGTAATTATGCTATAATTTATTTGTCTATCACAGTGTTAGGAGCTCTGGTAGCATAGTGGCTAAAAGCACTTGACTGCTAACCAGAAGGCTGGTGGTTCAA